CACGTAGTGAGTATAGAGTAGTACTTGTTTCCCCCTCCGAGCGATGCCACGTGGCAATGAGAGTGGGGCAGTATGTGTTTCGCTCCCCCGGTGTTGCCACATGGCGAGTAGAGTCAAAAAGTATGTTTACGCCTCGCCGGCGTTGCGTAGTGGAGTGGAGTAGTTTGTTTTTCGCTCGTGGGGTGGAGTAGTTTGTTTTTCGCTCCCCAGTCGCTGTCACCTGGAAGTTCGCGTGGACAATTGTTTTTGATCTGTACAGCAGGCGTTGCCACGTCGCGAGGAGAGTGGAGTAGCACATTTGTTCGCCCCCCCAGGTGTTCGCCACGTGGCGAGTAGAGTGGAATAGTTTCAGTTTCCACCCTGCAGGCGCTGCCGCATGCCGACTAGAGGAACGAGGGAGTAAGGAAGAGGAGGGAAGACCAGTGTAAACCCAAGTGTCATCAACGATGTTGGAATACACCCTCCTTCCAAGCTCCCGCTTCACAGGCCCCTACAACGGTTCATTTACATTGAAGGAACTGTCTCTTTGGAAGACAACCGTTTGAAGACCTTAAAGCATGCCAAACAATGTTTCTCCGAATTTCAACGCCACGGATCAACCTGACTGTTGCGTCTTGACAATTCTGAATCGCGCAAGAACGCCATTCCTGGTTCTTCAAAACAGCGAATCAACATAACTCTTGCGCCCGCATAGTCCTCACTCCTGTCAAAACACCATTATTGGAACGTTGATGCTGGGAATCCGAGAAACTCTTCCAAATGTTCAAAACGAATGTGCGCCGCGCTACGGCGAGAGCCGCATATTGAAAACCACTCGCCCTCAATCCGTGAAGCTCTGGCAATGCGCTCAGGCGAGAGCTTCATTTTGAAAACGACCCGCCCTCGATCCGTGAAGCTCTTGCAAAGTGTAAAACGAATGTGCGCCGCGCGAAGGCGAGAGACACATGTTGAACACCACCTGCCCTCAATCCGTGAAATGCTTGCACGGTTTTCAGACGAATGAGCCACATCTTGAAAACGGTCCGCCCTCAATTCTTGAAGCTGTTGACAATTTGTAGAGCGAATGTGCGCCGCGCTAGGGCGAGAACCACATTGAAAGCCACCCGCCCTCAACCCGTGAAACTCTGGAAATTGTCTTAATGAATGTACGCTGCGCCCAGGCGAGAGCTTCATTTTGAAACGACCCGCCCTCGATCCGTGAAGCTCTTGCAAGGTGTAAAACGAATGTGCGCCGCGCTAAAGCGAGAGCCACATGGTGAAATCCATTTGCCCTCAATCCGTGAAATGCAAGCATGCTTTTCAGACAAATGACCACATTTTGAAAACGATCCGCCCTCAATTCTTGAAGCTCTTGACAATTTGTAGAACGAATGTGCGCCGCGCTAGGGCGAGAGCCACAATGTGAAAACCACCCGCCCTCCATATGTAAAACTAGTGTCAATGTTTTAGCTTCAGAGTCGTACATGGTGAGGAAGTCTCAGGCGAAACGCCCAGCCCGCCATAAAAGATGGCCTTGGGGTGCGGCAGGGAGAACTCATTCTAAAGGAAATGTAATGGAGTGAGGAACGAGGAGGGTGGGGGAGAAGGGAGGAGGCAGAAGGGAAGAGGGCGGAGGGAGCAGGAGGAGGAGAAGTAGGAAAAGGAGAGAGGAGGGAGGGATGGGGAAAGAGGGAGGAGGCAGGAGTGAGGAGGGAGGAGAAGTGAGAGGAGGCAAGAGGCAGGAGAAGGAGGAGAGGGGAGGGAAGAGGGAGGAGAGGAGGGTAGGAGGCGTGGGAGGACGAGCGAGGAGGTGGAGGATGAAGAGGGAGGAGGGGGAGGTAGGAAGAGCGGAAGGAGGACGAGGAGGACGGGGACGAGCGAGGAGGAGATGTGGATGATGAACGAGAGGGGTTGGCCGAGGAGGAGAGGGGGGGAGACGGAGGAGGGCGAGGAGGAGGAGGAGGAGGGGAGGAGGAGGACGAGGAGGAGCAAGAGGCAGGGATGGAGGCAGGGGAGGAGGGGGAGGAAGAGGACGAGGCGGAGGCGAGGCCGGCTATCGAGGGTGTCGGGGTTGGCCGTTGCTGGGGGTTCGGGTTTCGTTCCTTCGGATGTTCGGGTTTCCGATTTTCGGGTTTGGCTCTCTCTTTCTCTCGCTCTCTCTTTCTCTCTCTCTCTCTCTCTCCCTGGATTTTCGGGTTCGGCGCCAGATTCTCGGATCTCGCTCGGGTGTTGTTCGGGTTCACCCCCCTGCCGGCGACGAGGCGGCGACGGGGCGGCGACGGCAACAACATAGCCGCCAGACCGACAGACAGGCCCAGTTCATTAGAGGAGAAGTAAGAAACCCCAAGTGCAAGCACTGTCTGGAGAGCATTGCCGACTTCAAGGGTACAGCGCGCATCAAGTACTCACATGAAGCGCTGACGCCGATGACAGACACCACGACCATACATCAAAAACACACGTCCGTAACATGCACCAGCAGGAGGCGTGAATGACACGCGTCAAGCACAGACAGGCTTAACCTACATCAATGAAGTACGCCAACCTCAAGAATCAGGATCACACTCCAGTGAAATGCAGCAGTGCCATACAGCAACCGCATTCGTCAGGAGCCGACCAATCACGTGCATCAAGATTGCATACCTGGCTCACGCTTCAATACCAGGCAACAACGTTAAGCACCAGCACCACCAAGACACAAAGAGCATTCAGAGCATGACGCCCAACTATCAAAACCATACATCAAGAACGGGCATCACGCACGCACATGAACAACGCGCCGAGATCACTCATTGTTAGCACGCGTGGACGCTTCTACACATACATGTATAATTTCATACATCAAAGACACGTGCCAACAACAGGCATCACCCCCGTGTCTTCAACATGAGAGCGTAGCAATAGAGATACGGAACAATGCACGTACCACACACGATCAAGGCGCGCACGTAATTGTCAGCGATCATATTTGCAGACTGCACAATTCAGAAACATAACACGCATTAGCATACACCATGCGCGTATGTCCTCAACGCACGTCAATATCATATCACAAAAGAGATAAGTGGCGTGGGCAATCTTGGGCGTCGCTTGGTGGTGGGGGCGATACATGGGGAGGAAAGGTGCACGTTTTGGGCCCTGCAGACCCCCTTTGGGGCCCTGAAGGGTCTATTCAGGGGCCTTGGAGGGTATTTTTTTGCAGCGTTCGCTGCTCCCCCCCATTTATCGCCCCCCATGAAGTGACATCCAATAAGTTCGCAGATATCGGAGATCAGTCGAGATGGCCTCCTAGGACGTCCAGGGCTCGCCAAGGGGGCGAGCACAAGAAGCCGCGGGGGGCAGGGCCAAGCCAGCGAGGGAATGGACGACTTGTCGGGGGAGTTGCGCGAGTGCGTTTCTTCCGCTTTCACACGTATGTTGGCTTCGTTAACCTGGCGTCCGGGTTGGAGGGCCAATTCGAAGTGGCCTGGGCAACATGTCCAGCGGAAATTGCGGTGGTGGATTTACCATTCATGACGGAAGTGCACCGCTCAGATTTGATTTCTTTGGTGAGGTGTGTTTGCAAATGGATTACATGAGGGAGTTGGACGGTCGGATTTGAAGATGCCCGTATGTGGCCGATGTGGGACGAGGTTGAACGTCGACGTCTCTCGAGAAAACTACCACGCTAGAGGTTGGTCATGGGTTGGAATGGCGGTGAGCGAACCAGGGCAGATTGCCTGACTCGGGGCCCAGGGCAGGGCGATTCGCTTTAGACGCTTAGCCATTGGCGAAGATTCATGTGTTTGCGTGGCAACGGGGACACTAGGATCACAAGTCGGAAGAGGATAGCAATTAGTGATTGACGCTTCGCGTATCACGACCAGCCCATCTAGAAGCGATGCCCGGGCGAGTTCCCTTGATCAGGGAAGTGTAGGAGCAGGCAGTGGAACGAAGAGGAAGCGCAGCCGTCAAACTCAAGTTCGGGATCAGCCGAATGATGTTGGAAGCTATGTGCAATCAGTTTGTGTTATGTTGTGCTGCCTTGGAGGTAATCTTGGGCAGTTCTGGGGCATCTTGGAGCCGTCTTGGGCCAGCTTGGATGCCGTATATTGGAGCGTGTGAACCCTTCCAGTTGCTGGAATGGCAAGGCACTGGGGTGTGCGGGGGGGGGGACAGCGCTCCAATACGATTTCAAGAGGCCTCCCAAACTGCCAAAGACGGCCCCAAGACGGCCTCAGGCCCCCAGGGCACTCCAAGAGGGTTCCAAGAAGACCCCCAAGACAGAGCCCAAAGAGGCAAAGCTTGTCCCATGAACGCAGGAAAAACGTATGTGCTCAGCATATTCGCTGTCTCGTTCTTGACAACGTCCAATCGGTCCAAGAGGGGCTGCGGAGGGGCCCAGGGGAAACCCAAGACGACCCCACCCAGATGGTCTCCAGACGGCCCAGGGGGGCTCAGGAGGGGCCCCAGAGGAGCTTGAAACGGCCCCAAAGGGCATCAATTCCTCCCGTGCTTCGAAGATATCCTAGAGAAACCCAAGACGGCCCCCGAGGCCTCCAAGACGCCCCCCAAGACGGACCCAAGAGGGCCCCCAAAGGCCTCGGGCCCTTCCGTGTTTCGAAAAGGCCAGGAAGGCCCATCCCGAACGGCCCCAGAGGTTCCCAAAATGCCCCCAAGACTTGCCCGATAGGGCACCAATTTGGCACCAGACCCCTCCATGTTGCCGTGCGGGTCTGCCGTGTTGGTTGGTATTGTACGCTGTGCTTCGTGTTGGTCTGCCGTGCATGGATTACGCGAGGTGGGTAGTCTTGCAGCGTGGGGCAAGGGAAGGGGTAAACCTTTGCCCGAAGGGGAAGAAGAGGATTGGACAAGCGCTCTCGCTATGCCACCTGAGCTCAGAGTGCTGGTGGTATTCATACGATTGGGGGAGGGATATCAGCTTTTCGAGGCCTCCAGTGCGGGCAGTGGTGTAGGAGGAGACTTGACAAGGCTCGTGGTCTACCCATCCCTATCCCGCAAGCTCCGCCATCTGTTGCCAGGAAGTGGAAGACTCTCCACACATATTAGTTGAAGGAATTCCAGACAGTTGGCAGGATCTTTTTTGTGATTGCGACAGTGAGAGATGAGTTTGCCAGCAGAAGTGCGGTTGCAATGTGAACACCTGTAGCGGTGCACGCCCCTTTCCGTTGAAGCAGCTCCTTTTAGACAGGCCCCACGTTCAAGAGCAGACACCTATCAGAGACTGCCAGCAGCACCACCAGCCAGCACACCTGGTCAGAGTCTAATTGAAGCGCGTGTGAAGTCCATGATCGCACTTTCTCCCACACAGCGCGTGCACTTGTGGGGTTAAGTCGGGCCTGTCCCTAATAGTCAAAAAATAATATGGGGACTACGTTTTGAATATGTTTGGGCATCTTCTGTATATTTCTCGGGGTACTTAAGAAACAAATATCCAAAATCCCCCTCTAGGGGGACAGGCCCGACCTGATTGTAGGGGTCGCACTCGTGTTTTCACTCGTTGGCCTTGGCATCGCTCGGACGTGTGCCTTTTTATCTCGGCGAGGACCCTCGAGGGCCATCCTGGCCCATCGAGCAAAAAAAACACGCACACGAAACCGACAAGTGCACGGGAAGTGGACGCCCGAGCGACGGCCAGTGGCTGGGCAGGGTGGCTCGTTTACCAGTTTAAAACATATCCCTATCCCTATGTTTGACATCACATCACCTCGATGCCGATCTTAAGGATTCCCCCAGTTTCTGAGGGCCCATCCCTAAGATTGTCCTCGCTTTTTGCTCGCCCATCTTAGGGATAGGGATACGTTCGAGGCTGGTGGCTCGTGGTCTCGCCGCGCGCCCGCCCGCGGGCGTCCCGTGGGGCGCCCCGTGCGCCGGCCGGGTGTTGTCCTGCCTTCGCCCGTGGGCCCCGCCCGTGGGCGCCCCGCGGGCGGTCCCCGCACGCCTCGCGCCGCACGGCCTGCGCAGCACGCGGCTCGCACCGCGCAGAGCCGGCACTCGGAGGAGGAAAAGGCACCCACACCTCCTCCTCCTCCTCCTCCTCCTCCTCCTCCTCCTGCCCCTCCTCCTCCTGCCCCTCCTCCTCCTCCTCCTCCTGCCCCTCCTCTACCCTGCGGCCGTTTTCCCCTCTTGGGGGCCTCCTCGCAGGATCTCGTCGCCACCGCCGGATTCGCCTCGAAATCCTGGTCAGAACGCACCCCGGGAGAGGTCCGGGGAGCAGCGGTATCGGTACCTTTTGGTTTCCCCATGCGCCGCGCAGTCTGCACCGCACAGCTCTCATCACCTAGCTTCCACCACATGGTGTGCACCACATTGCTTCAACCACATGGCTCGCAGCACCTAGCTTGTGCGCCCACAGTGCAAGAAGTCCACGCTGGCAAACATGTGGTATTCTGCACAAGCCCCTGCTGAGGGGGCCTTGTGCCACAGACCCTGGAATGACAATCATTCGGGCTCTTTCTGATTCCCACCCCTGGAGTCGACGGTTTAGTTGCCGTGGGTGTCTCTTTTGTTGTTCGACTGGGGCTATCCTTTCACCTTGCTCTTGCAGTTCCATGTTCTACAGTAGCGAAGGTTGCCCGTCCAGGTCCGACCAGAGTGCGGGATGAGCCGGCTCATGTCTTGTCGTTCCTCTTGCCTCCAAACTTCGGACAGTTGTGGGGTGTCATGGATGGGGTTCCTAGATTTGTTGTCGCCTGCATGGTTTTTTCGCCCTGTGCAGAGGCCGACACTCAGGCAGCGATTGGGTTTGAGTTGATGTGTAAACGTAGTCGGTAGTGTCGTATCAGCCTGTTCATTTCATCTTCGATGTATGTCCTTGCGCGTGCGTTACCCGATTCTGTCACCTTGTAGCGTGATCCCTAAAGGGAGATTCAGCGGCCCAGTGCACATTGATGATTCTGTCTACGAAGCTCATGTGTTCTAGCAAGCGCCCTGGTCACTTCATCGACTGCCACTTTTGCATTGTAACCCTTCGTTTGTAGCATGAGTGGTTCGTCAGATTTGCTTATCTAGCCGGAATTCTTAATACAACATCTCATGACAAGCATTTTGACCGAGCATCTCGATGATAGGTTTCGATTGTGTCAGGTGTGCAACACACCTTTTATTCATTGTAAGTATGTGTGTGTGTTTCCAGTTTCGTGTATGCATGTGCGGAAATGCGGCGCGAAATATTGGTTGCATGTGATCCGCGAGAATGTGATGTTCGTTACATTGCATTTGTTATGTAGTGCGCGGTCAGAGTGATCATGTAATGTGCCATGGCAAGCATGCAGCCGTGTTACGTTGTGTATTACCTGTTGCGTGCAATCAGTCCATCTGGCAGGAGACTCAAGTCAAAATGGCTTTCGTTTTGTACGGTGGTGTTGCCGCAGTTCGTTTTGCCAATCAGGAAGGCAGGGTGGGGACGATACCGCGCTCACCTCCATGGCACTGCTACTCGTTGCAGTTGCGGGCTTCCAGGGCGATACTCGGGATTGCGTTGCAGCCATTCGACGTGTGACCAGCATTTTTGCTCCAGCAGCTAACACGTGCTAGACCTCTCCGCTATCTTCCTCTGCCCTCCATTGTCTTCTTCTCCTTGATTGTGACCGAAGTCCGTCTTCGAAGTTGTGGGAGCAGATGCCGCGATGAGTAAAGCTAATGCGTACTCCTAGCGTTAGCGATGTCGTTGTCTACTGTCGAGCGCCAATTTTCTGCTGCAGCGATACACCAGGCGCCCACTATGCAGATAGCGGGGACTCATCGAAAACGTTTTGCTCTCAACGCACATTGTGCCATCGTCGTGATATTAGCGCTGCCAGGATTAGCGGGTACACACCATCATAAGTCATTGGAGTACATTGTGTGTCCCTGGCCTGTGTCTATCACCCTGCTGTTTCTTTTCGGGGCTACATAAGAGCGGTACTCGATGACGCGGTCAGGTCCAGCATGCGCCTTGGCAAGGGTGGTTCGACGTGCAATATGAGGGTGGACAGTGAGGCACACGAGGTGTCCCAACGCATGTTGTTGGCCAACCGCGGAGAGGAGGATGAGGAATGGACGAGTGAGTTTGAAGGGAGCGTGCGAGACGCATGCGTTGCCGAATGAACGGGCGGTGGGAGGCGCGCGGTGGAAGAGCCGCGAAAGTGTGGCTGAAGAGTCCGGAGAATATGGCCAAGGCTTCTGAGCAGATATTCTTCCTTCTCTTCCTCCTCCTCCTGGTCCTGATCGTCTCCCCCTCGCCGTTTCCCCCCTCCGCTATGCAGCCGACACCAGAGATGAAACAGTCGCCTGACAGCTGACGGCCCTCGAACATGTATCGATGCTCGACTCTCCTTGAGACCCAGGGCGCCCCGAGAACTCAATGTGAAGTCTCGCGTGCTCGGAACATCGCCCCCACGAGGCCATTGCAGTTTCGAGTGACGGATTGCTGCCGCTGGCTGTAGCCATCCGGCGTCGTCTGCGCCGATGCCGGCGCGATTCTGCAGTTCGCCCACGGCCTCCCGGGACTCTTCCACCTATGTTAGGCCTGCCTGCTTCGGGGGTGGCAAAGAGGGGGTGATGACTAGGGGGGGGGGGATTTCATGGCGGGGGCCATGATTTTTCCTCAGATGACGTCCCTGGGCCCCCCACGCTGGGCCGCGCACATGCCGCCGGCCGTGATTTGCACCCCCCCCTCTTGGACACCCCCCTCTTGGCCGCCCCCGGCTTGCTTCTGCTCGTCCGCGCGCGTGGGCGTGCCCGCGACAGTGCCCCTCGGAGCCCTCCCGGCGTGTCCCCGCAGTGCCAGACGGGCAGGGCGCCCGTGTGCAGCCCGCGCGCTCTCCACCAGACGAGGGGCTCTGCCGTGTCTCCCTGGCCAGGGCCCAGGAGCGGGGAAATGCGGTGTGGAGGGGGAGGACGACTGAGGCGGGAGGAGGGAGAGGATCGAGGAGGGAGTGGAGGATCGAGGAGGGAGTGGAGGGAGAGGACTGAGGAGGGAGTGGAGGACTGAAGAGGGAGTGGAGGAGGCGTGGGCAGCCCGCTACGGTCTGCCCACGCCTGGCTCTGCCGTGTCTCCCTGGCCAGCGCAGCGCGCCAGGAGCATCTCGCCCCGACGGCTCCGCGCCGCTGCTGCAAACGGCTCTCTCACCCGCGAGAGCGGGTCGCGCTTCGCGGGCCTGTGGCCACCGCGGAGGCCGCCACGGGAGGCCCCATCGATCGTGGCCCGAGTCGCTGGGCGAAGCTTGCTCGCACCGTTTGTTCTAGACGGCGCTCTGCCGAAGGGGCCCCGGCGTGTTTCTGTGCAAGAGGGCCAGAGACGACCATTGTCTGGAGTCGTGCACGTCCCTCTGCAGGAGGAATATTCCCAAATACTCAAAAGATAGCCTGTGGACGATGTTTTCCAATTTTTCTGAATATGGTTGAATCTATTTTTGTTATTCAAGATTGTTCTTCCAAGTTCCGCTTGTAGGGGGACGTGCCCGACCTAAGCATAGTCCGAGGCCAGGTTCCTCGGCGCCCCGCACCCCCTCGCCTCGCCCTTCCTCGCGGACCCCCCCGGAAAGCGGACGCAGTGGAGTGCGAGCGCACCCAAGGCAAAGGAAGCAGGCCTCGCCAGCAAGATGCAAAGTAACGCAGCGCAGAGCACTGCAGCGCAGATCAAAGCAGAGCATTGCAGCGCGATGCTATGCGCTGCGGTGCAGAGTAAGTCAGGCCAATTCGAAGGGAAGGTCATCCAAGCGACGAAGCATCGCAATTGATTACTCGCCGTGGCGGAAGTACCTGTCACGCCTCGCCCGCTAATTGAGCAGCCATGCGGAGTAGGTCGGACAAGAGGCTCTTCCAACTACACCGCGCGGAGGGCGCATTCCGCTCGATACGTTTTCAAGGGTCTGGCGCGGAGTAGCGTGCGATCTGGCATTGAGGTAACAGAGTCGCGGTCAGGAGTGTTAGCTTAGCGTGTCGATCTGCTGGTCCTGGCCCACCACGCTTCGGCGCGACTCAAGCAGTGGCGAAGCGCCCCGGCTCGCCTATAGCCTTACCAAACAATGTTCTAAAAACTTGTTGTGGTTTCCACGAATTGTTCTTAGAACCTTCCTGGCGGAGTCTGTCTTGTTTCAACACGTCGGGCTTATGTTCTGAGAACGTTGTTTCTGTTATTAGAACATGTTGGGGTTCTGAGAACATGTCGTGGTAGGACTAGGAATGCCGGGACGTTCGGTCCCTGCCCAAGCGACAGGCTATCCACGTCCCCCTTCCCCAAGCGTCAACGTCCAGGGCCGTCCCGAGCCTCCCGCCCCTCGGAGCGGAGCGACGCGCCATCCGCTCGCAGGGCACAGCTCGTCACCGTGGGCCGTGGGCGCCGCCGCGACACGCTGAGCCAAAGCTCCTGACCGTACAGTCGGGGCCCTGAAGAAGGAACCCTTTTCGTTGGGGAGGGGCTCCGTGTTCCCTAAGTGTTTCGCAGCTTGCCTTGGATTTTTCCTTAGGTTTTCGATGCGAAATCGAAGTTCAACGTATGGCAAATAGGGGCCTCGTTCCTTATTTAGGGTTCCTTAGGTCAACTTCTCGACTGTATACGCGTCAGCCAGATCCAAAGTTCTCAGGCGAAGGGCCGCGAGCCACACGAGGCGCTCGAAGTTGCCAGAGTCTGCACGAACGCGATGGGCACGGAAAGAATGGGTACGATGCCCAACAGCAGCTCCTGTCCATTTTGGGCAGGACTCGCTGTCCGCGCCGCCGCGGCCTGTCCCCATTTAAAAACAGAAGGCCTCCCGCCCAAGCTGTTTGGGGCAACATTTGTTTTTGGGCATTGTACTCATTTTTTCCGTAGCCATTTCGGGGCGTCCAAATGACCGTATACACGTCAGCCAGATCCAAAATTCTCTGGCGAAGGACCACGAGCCAAATGCGACGCTCAAAGTTGTCAGAGGGATGGCTGGCTTCCTCCGGAACGCAGATTGAAGAATCATCGGCAAAGGTTTTGCTTGCGGCAGTCTGTCCCCCTACATGAGGGGCATCTGTTTTGCCTGAGGCTCGGCACGTTTGTAGTCTGATGCTTGCTTGTGTCTTGCCACGCTTGTATTGGACTTGCAGCTCTTCGGGCCCGTTTCCCTTCCTTCCCCCTTTCACGAAATCCTGTCACCTTCCCCCTTACAGTCGACCCGCAGAGTAAGGATGGGCATCCCTCCCAAGGGTACCCTTTCATCCTTGCTTCCTGGTTCCATCCTTGGACACTTTCGTTGGCCGCGCCCCGCTCGAAACGCTTCGAGATGGGCGTCCAAGGGCCTTGCATCCTTATCGCGCATCCTTACTCTGCGGCTTGACTGCAACACTCCGTCACCGCATGCCAGTCAGTTCTCCCCCCACGCGTCGCTCTCTCCCGTGCGCCCCCCTCCCTCATCTTGCAAATGCTGGGGGCGAGAGCCGAGGGACATGGGACGCAATAGCGAGCCACGGTTAAGTCGGGCCTGTCCCTCTACAGGGGGAATGTTCAAAAACAGTTTAAAAAATAGTCTGGGGACTATTTTTTAAATATTTTTTGACAAGTTTAGAATATGTTTTGAGCATTTTCAGTTTTTCGCTCAAAATCCTCCTGTAGGGGGACAGTCCCGACTCAAAGCTACGGTGGGGGCATTGGTTAAGGAATGCGCCCAGAAGGCGTCAGATCCTGGAGGATTCCATGTCTGCTTTGGGCGGCGACGACATCCACGGCCAATCCACGAGTGGAGTTCCGCTGCCTTCCAGACCCGAGGGGGAGAAAGGGAGGAGGAGGAGGAGGAGAAGAGGAGGAGAAGAGGAGGAGGAGGAGGCGGAGGAGGCGGAGGAGGCGGAGGAGGAGGAGGAGGCGGACCAGACCCTGGATTCCTTATCCAATGGCTGCTTATCCAATGCCCTCACCGTACTGGAGAGTTTGCCATTCAGCGTTCGGAGTCGGAGAGTTCCACGGATGCGATCGCGCCTCTGTCTTGATCGCCAGGCGATGCCTTTTTTGTTTACCATTTGTTGGTGGGTCCCATGCTCGCATCCAAACGACGGCTGTGCTGCAAACTATGTTCAGAGAGTGGGGCTTCTTTAGATTCGGGTGAGCGGCCGTGCTGGTATTTACAGTGGCCAGGTTTCCCGGGCCAGCCAGACCGCACTCGCACAGGACAAGTCGGTTTCGGCACGCCGACCCAACAAAAAAGGCTAGCGCTGAGTCCTTGAGATGTGGATGTAGTTGAATTACGTGGTATGATCAGCCTTGCTTGGTGCTAGACTACAGTCAACGCGTAGCAAGGACGCGCGCCTTCATCTACCCGTATGTCCTTGCCTCTGCGTCCCGTCCTTTGCCGTGTTCACTGGTCGCCCGCCGCCCAAACAATCCCGATTTCGACCTTCAAGGGTCTTGCGTCCTTACCACCCGTCCTTAGTACACGTTTTGATTGTGTTCGTTTCGTTGACGTGCTGCCAGTCGGGCTGCCTCGCCGCCCCGCCGGGGTGGCGTCGCCGTCCGGCGCCGACAGGCTGTCAAGCAGCTGCACGGCAGTAAGGTTGGCGACGGGGAGCTCATCCAGGATTGCTGGGGGGTTGGGGAGGGTGAGCTTGGCATCGCTCGGACGTGTGGGGTCTTCCTCGGCGGGGACCATGGAGGATCGGGCCGGACGAAAGAAGGGGATTGGGAGAGGGGGGGGGTACGAAATCTGCTGCATGCAGCTGGTTTCGGCCCCACCGAGGGGCCCATTCCTCGATACATAGCCGCCTCCGGCGCCGGGAGGCGCCGGGAAAATTAGCTACGTGAGCTGATTCTCAATCGCCCCCTTTGCTATCCACCCCTTTCGCCCGACCCGAGAGGAGCATCTTGGATCACCTTGCGAAAAGATGCACGCACGAAACCGAAACATGCACGGGGAATGGACGTCCGAGCGACGGCGAGTGAGGGTTAGACTTTTAAATCGGGCCTGGCCTTCTACATTAAAAAAATAGTCGGGGGACTATTTGGGAGCATTTTTTGAATATGTTTGAGCATGTGTTGCGTATTTGTTATTTTTCGTCGAATATCCACCTGTAGGGGGACACGCCCGACTTAAGGTTAGACGAGCTATAGGAAAATCCTTGAGGCCTCGCGCGGCGCGCAGTGGTCGTACAGTCCAGTCCGCACGTCCGCCCCCTCGGGTGTGGAGCGACGCTCGCGCGGCGATGCTCCGACGTGATTCCGACGCCAATCCGACGTGAAGCCGACGTGCATCTGACGCGAATCCGACGTGGATCTGACGTACAGTCGGGGCCCTGAAGAAGGAACCCGTTTCGTTGGGGAGGGGCTCGGTGTTCCTTGATTGTTTCAAAGTTTGCCTCGGGTTTTCCTGAGGTTTTCCATGGGAAATCGAGGTTGAACTCATGGGAAAAAGGGGCCTCGTTCCTGATTTAGGGTTCCTTAGGTCAACGCCCCGACTGTACTTGGGGGAGCGAACAATGACATAAGCATAAAAACCGACGTGGATCTGACGTACCTGGGGGAGCGAACAATGACATAAACATTAAAACCCGGAGGTCCGCGCGGATTTCTCGGATCGGCGCCGGACCCCCTCCCTGGCGCGCGGAGCGCGCCAGTGGCGGCGCCGGAGGCGCCGCCGGGGGGTCGGTCCAGCGCCGAACCGAGAAATCCTGGCGGGCCCCCGAGTTTTAATGTTTCTGTTCGACCAAGCGCAGAGGGGGGTGGGGGGAGGGGGGAGGGCTTCTTAGAAGCACCCCTGCTTCTTGGAAGGTGCGGGCCTTCTCTGTAGATGTAAGGCCGGCGCCTTCTAAGAAGCAGCCTCCTTCTAAGAAGCCTTCCCCCCTCCCCCTACCCCCTTCTGCTCGCCGCCAATCTGTCATTGTTCGCTCCCCGAGTACATCCGATACCGCTGCCCTTCTCTCGTGATCGCCTTTTTGGGCCTCCCGGGAGCCCCTCGTCGCCACGACTGGTTTTCCCCTCGAAGTCGTAGTCACAACGCACCCCAGGAGAGGTCCAGGGAGTAGCGGGGAGAGGTCCATCCTCCTCCATCCTCCATCTTCCTCATCCATCCTCCTCCTCCATCCTCCTCCCTCCTCCATTCTCCTCCTCCTCCTCCTCCTCCTCCACCTGCTCCTCCTCCTCCTCCTCCTCCTCCTCCTCCTCCTCCTCCTCCTCCTCCTCCTCCTCCTCCTCCTCCTCCTCCTCCTCCTCCTCCTCCTCCTCCCCCCATAAGTGCAGAAGTGCATGAGCATAATCTTTTGGAGCTCCGCGCGCATTCCTGGGATAGGCGCTGGGCCCCCCTCCCGGGCGCGCGGAGCGCGCCGGGGGCGGCGCTGAAGGCGCCGCCAGGGGGATCCAGCGCCGATCCACGAGGTCCGCGCGGAGCTCCGAGAGGTTGCTTTACGCCGGCTGCGGCTCCCCTAGTGATTGCCAGCCTCGAACGCATCCCTATCCCTAAGATTGACACGCCAAAAGGCGATGACAATCTTAGGGGTTATCCCCCAAAGAATACGGAATCCCTGAGATTGGCATCGTGATGGGGAGGTGCCCAGCATAGGGATAGGGATATGTTCCAGGCTGGTAAAGGGAGGGGTGAGAAGCTGTTTGCAGGAACATGGGCATGCAGCTATGTTCGCACTCGCCACCACGCAAAGTATAGTGGACACTCTTCGGGGTCGGTTCGCGAGCGTGAGACGTTCAACCAACTGTGCACATTACGGCTCGGGCGGAGGATCGAATATTTTTTGAGTGTGCATACGTGTGGCTTCCAAGAATCGACTACGCGTGCGAGTGACCCTTCGCCAGAGTGACCTTTGGTGCGGGCTCACCGAGGTCCCCCCGACCGCGGAGCGCGATGCGACAGTGGTTGCTCGCGCGCTCGGATTCGGCAACCTTGCGCCCCCCTCGCCCGCACACGACGAAGGGTCACTCTTGCCCAGGGCCACTCCTGCGTGTCGCCGAGGGACGGCCCGCGTGACTCGCTCAGCCTCCCCGGCTGGAGCATCGACCCCCGATCGCCCATTGCTCGGGGGCGGAAAAGAGGGGGGTGATGACTAGGTAGGGGGGGGGGGACATCATGGCGTGGGCCATGATATCTCCCCAGATTTCGTGGCGCCTCTTCTCATTTTATTACGTCCCTGGCCCCCCCGCTGGGCCGCGCACATGCCGCCGGTCATGATTTGCACCCCCCCCCTCTTGGACACCCCCCTCTTGGCCGCTCCCGGATTGTCGTCGCCGATCGGGGCCGGGCCCCCGACCACGCCGAGAAGCGCGCGGCTTCCGCCATCCAGGGCCTGCCGCGGGGCGGTCGGCGAGGAGCCGTCGACAGCAGGTCCACGGTCGCTTCGACGTAGGGTCGAGGCGTTGACCTAAGGAACCCTAAATAAGGAACGAGGCCCCTTTTTTCCATAAGTTGAACTTCGATTTCCTACCGGAAACATAAGGAAAACCTGAGGCAAGCTGCGGAACACTTAAGGAACGCGGAGCCCCTCCCCAACGAAAAGGGTCCCTTCTTCAGGGCCCCGACTGTAGGGGTGACCTTCGAAGCAGGAAAAGCGACATAAACAACGGACAGCTCGCCCCTCGGCCCCCCGCCAGCCCCGCGCCGAGGGGCGAGCATATAAACGCGCGCAGCACCGCGCTGGATGCGTAGCCTTCGGCTGGGCAAGGCAGGGCCCCCTGCCTTACAACTGCCAGCGAAACATCCTCACCGCCCTGACTTAAAACTGCCAGCGCACTATCCTCACACCCCTCGCATAAAACTGCCAGTGAAATATGCTCAACCGTCTGGCTTAAAACTGCCAGCGAAGTCTCCTCGGCGCAGACACTTCAAGTGCCAGCGACATATCCCCACGCCCCGGGCCTAAAACTGTCAGCGAAATATCCCCACTGCCCTCGCTAACTGCGAGCGAAGTATATCAATACCCCTCGCTCAAAACTGCCAGTGGAAGATCCTCACCGCCCTTGCTTGAAACTGCCAGCGAAATATCCTCACACCCTCACTTGAAACTGTCAGTGAAATATCATCACCCCCCTGGCTTAAAACTGCCAGCAGCATATCCTCACCGCCCTGACTTAAAACTGCCAGCGACAAATCCTCACACACACACACACATCGCTTAAACCTGCCAGCGAAGTCTCATCGGCGCCCACACTTAAACTGCCAGCGAAATGTTCTCACATTCCTCGCAAAAACTGCCAGCGACATATCCTCCCCCCCTGGCCTAAAACTGCCAGCGGAATGTCCTCCTCACCTCCCTCGCTTAAAACTGCCAGCGAAATATGCCCACGCCCCTCGCTTAAAATTGCCAACGAGGTATCATCACGCCCCTGGCCTAACATTGCCAGCGAAATATCCTCACCAACCCGACTTAAAATTGCCAGTGAAATTTCTTCACCGCCCTCACTTCAAATTGCCAGCGAACTATCCTCACACGTCTCGCTTAAAACTGCTAGCGAAATATCCTCACCACTCTGGCTTAAAACTGCCAGCGAAATGTCCTCACCGCCCTGGCCTAGAACTGCCAGCGATATATCTTCACCGCCCAGGACTTAATTAAGGCTTCTAGCGAAATATCTCAAAACTCCTTGCTTAACACAGTACGCAACATATCCTCATGCACTTGGCCTAAAATTGCCAGCGAGATATCCTCAACCCCCTGACGTAAAACTGCCAGTGAACTATCATCACCGCCCTTGTTAAAAACTGCCAGCGAAAAAGTCTCAGGCCTAAAACTGCCAGCAAAATACGCCAATCCGCCGGGGCAGGTTTCGCGCGCGCCTCATTTGTAGATATCTTGACGGCGGTTTTCCGGCCCGCGCTGTCAGGGCCCGCCCGTCTTTTCAGAGCCGTTTCACGCGGAGTGCCGTGGCTTGCTGTTTCTTGACATATTTGTAGGATCCCATGCGCAGTGCAGCGCGTTGCCGTAGACCGCCTGCCCGCGCTGGCATCTAGAAAGCTGCAGATCCGCGGCGCGTGAACTTTTGCATTGTTCCAGCGAAAAAGAAACATGCCTAAAACTGCCAGCGAAATATCCTCGCCGCCCTCGCTCAAAACTTCCAGCGAAATATCCTCACACCCCTCGCCTAAAACTGCCAGCGACAAAACCTCACAACCCTGGCTTAAAACTGCCAGCGACATGTCCTCACCACCCTGGCCTAAAACTGCCAGCGGTATGTCTTCACCGCCCAGGACTTAATGAAGGCTGCCAGCGGAATATCTCAACACTCCTTTCTTAACAGAGTCCGCAACATATTCGCATGCACCTGGCCTGAAACTGCAAGCGAGATATCCTCAACCCCCTGACTTAAAACTGCCAGTGAAGTATCATCACCAGCCTCGCTGGAAACTTCCAGCGAAATATCCTCACACCCTCGCCTAAAATTGCCCCAGCGACAAATCCTCACCACCCTGGCCTAAAATTGCCCGCGATATATCCTCACCTCCCTGACTAACGGCTGCCAGCGAAATATCCTTACCCCCTTGGCCTTCCAGTGAAGTATCCTCAACTCCCTGACTCAAAACGGCCAGCGAAATATCCTCACCCCCTGAATTATAGCTGTCATCTAACGGCTTCGGTGATTCAGTTATCAGTTCTGCCATTCAGTAAGTCGGTCTACGTCCCGAAATTCAAATCAAGGGCTGCGCCCGTGAAACATAAACTTTTGGCGTTCCGCGCGGATTTCTTGGATCTGCGCCTGGGCCCCCACCGGCGGCGCCTCTGGCGCGCTCCGCGCGCCAGGGAGGGGGTCCAGCGCAGATCCAAGAAGGCATTACGGCCAGTGCCGCTGACCCTGAGAACGACGAAGATGAAAACGAGGGGGGGCAGAGGGAGAAGGATGAGTGGGAAGTGGAGGAAGGGTGGGGGAGGTGGATGAGGGAGGAGGAGGAGGGAGAAAGATGTGGAGGAGAAGCAAGAAGAGGAGAAGGAGGCAGAGAGGCAGAGGAGAACAGGAGGAGGAGATGGAGGAGGAGGAAGAGGAGGAGGCCAGAGGCTTTCTTGGGGCGACAGCCTGGGGCTCTCTTGAGGCCGTCTTGGGCCGTCCTGGGCTCCTCTTGCGCCGTCTCGAGGCATTCTTGGAGGCCTCCTGGGCAATCTGGGGCTTTCCTCGGCTGTCTGGGCCGTCTTGGCGCGTCGGGAAGCGGAAGAGGCAAGAACGCCAAAATCTGTCGAAAACGTATGGGAAATGTGTGAATTTTGCTTCTTGGGGCTCTTGTGGGAAGGAGGCCTCTTGGGGCGCTTTGCAGGCCTCTTGGGCCGTCTGGAGGCCGTCAAGGCGTCTTGGACAGATCGCTCGGCGATTCGGGGTTCTCTTGGACTGTCTTTGGAGCCTCTTGGGGCCCTCTTGGTCCGTCTTGGGGCTTTTGGGGCTCCGGGACTCCCCAGTGGGGCGTCAGACCCCTACCCCCCCGGGACCTCCCCCCCCCTGGCGGGGAAGGGATCGAAGGGAAGGGGCTTCCCTTCGACTCAATTACGACGTTGCTCAACTTCGCTTTGGTTGGCGCGCTGAGGAGGTCCCTGGAAAAGGGGAGAGCTTCGACGAGCCCAGGGAAAGGGGTAGGCAGGGAAAGGGGACGACAGAGACGACGACCAACGAATGACGAAGATGACGACTTGAACGGACAAGCCCCCCCCCACACACACACACGCCGACAAGGGCGGCGGATTCCGCGCGGACCTTGAGAACTTATGTTTATGCAGTTGTTTATTCCTCTGCGGCTGGGACCGCCATTCCGATTCGGTTCGATTCACTTGCGTCGGCAGGGGCGAGCCAGAGTCGGGTGCGGCGATCCGATTTCGATGCGATTCGGGATGATTCGTTGGCAACCCGATGCGTTTCCGATCCGATCTTGCTTCGCGAGTCGAGCCAGCTCCGGCCAGGCAGTTCGGCGCAGGCTCGCACTGCGTATGTCCACGAGGTGGTATCTCGCTGAAGTCAGAGGAGGGGGGCAGCGACAGTGAGGGACTGGCTACGGTTCAGTCGCGCATGTCCCTTTACAGGAATATTCAAACATAGTCAAACAATATTGTGGGGACGATATTCTGTTATGTTTGACTGTTTGGGGGCGTTTTTCGACGATATTTCGCTGTTCTTCCAAAATCCCCCTGTAGGAGGACATGCCCGACCTGAGGCTACGGGGGTTTTGGATGTTCGATGTTTTCCGGCTCGTTCGTCGGTCCTCGGCGGCCTACAGGCAGTCTGCGCCTATTCGAGAGTGTCCCAGGGTCGGGAGCGGAAAAGAGGGGGGTGATGACTAGGGGGGGGTGGATTTCATGGCGCGGGCCATGATTTTTCCTCAGATTTCCTGGTGCCCCTTCTTGTTTCATTACGTCCCTGGCCCCCCCGCTGGGCCGCGCACATGCCGCCGGTCATGATTTGCACCCCCCCCTCTTTGACGCCCCCCTCTTTGCCGCTCCCGAGCCTACAGGCAGTCTGCGCCTATTCGAGAGTGTCCCAGGGGTGCCCGAACGGCCCGGAGCGGTCGCGGGAGAGCCGAGGTGCGAAGCGACGACATAGGGTTATGTCGGGCGTGTCCCCCTACAGGGGGACTTTCGACGAAAGAAATAAAGTTCTCCAAGGCAAAAAATACCCAACAGATCGTCCCCATACTATTTTTCTGTTTTTTAAACTATTGTTTGGGTATTTTTTATGTTTCGTCGAAAATCCCCCTGTAGGGGGACAGGCCCGACATAAACATAGGGGGCTGCAGCTGGGAGGGCACAGGCTCCGGGGCGGATGCCGCATCGGCTCCCGCTCGTCCGTCAGATCGCCGCGGGGGGCCCGGCAGCCCACCCCGCCCAGGACCCATCGAGGGCCCATCGCCGATCTTTCGGCGACGAGGGGATCGAGGACGCTTCTTACTCCTTCCTCCTTCTCCCCCTCCTTCTCTCCTCCTCCTCCTCCTCACGCCTCCTCCTCCTCCCCACTCCCCCTCCCTCCTCCTCCTCCTCCTCCCCCTCCTCCCTTCCCCCTCCTCATCCCTCCTCCTCCTCCTCCTCCCGTCTCCTCCTCATCCTCCTCCTCCCCTCCTCCTCCTCCTCCTCCTCCTCCTCCTCCTCCCCCTCGCAGAAAGATCGGCAGTTTTGGCATCGAGGGCCCCTCGCCGATCTTTCGGCGATGCATCGCCGAAGCCAGTTCGGTGCTGCTGTCTCCGCTCGAGCCCGGTCCCCCCCTTGACGTCTCTCGCCTCTCGACTGCCAGGGCGGCAGCCGCACCTCGCAGGGGGCACGAGAGGACGGGGCGCTGCAGCGCAGCGTGGCCCAGCCGGCGAAGACCAGATGGCAGATGCAGGCTGGTTGACGTCTGGGGCGCAGGCTCCGTGTGCATCCAGCAACGTGCGGGTGATGTGGAGTTGAGCGTGAGCATATGCCGATGGGTGTCTTCCGAGCAAGCGCATGGAGTGGTGTTGCGCAGAAGAAGGTTAGAGAGCACGCACGGAACTGGTGCTGTCTGCATGGCAGCGAGCGTCGCGGTTCAGGAGTGCAAAATATCTTGTCGAGTTGTTGGTCAAGATTTGGCCAATCAGAGAAGCTCCAGGACGGACGCGTTCATGCGGGATGGGGTGCGCAGGTGCAAATTGTGAGCATTGGTTTACGCAACGTGTCTGTTTGAATTTATTGTCTTTTCTATCATCGTGCGAGCACAAAGTGCGCACTTGGTGTCAATGGGGCAGGCATCGTATGATTAAGAATGCAGTCCATGTCGGCCAACTGGCACGCGTAGACGAGGCAGGGAGCGGCAGGCTTGGCGCAAGATTGACCATTCGCCCAGAAGCGACGTGATGTCTAAGCGCAGGTGGCACTTTCTGGACTAGAGACTGCAGCTCCAGTGTTGCATACTGCAGCGTCTTCGGAGGTCGGCGCTGCGTGCACCGAACACGCCGCCACCTAGTACAGCTGGCACGGAGGGAAAGAACATAGGCAGCTGGAACGTTTTTCGTGTCGGGGCTCTCCGCCCTGGATCAGGAGGGAAAAAAACACACAGACACAATTATTCGTCGATTCCCCAAACATACGGGAAAATCTGGGAAGTGGGGGGGAAGACAAAAACCCAGAAATATAAGTAAATATGGGGGATGATTTTATTTGTGTGTATTTATGTGTGTGTGTGTGTCTCAGGGCCCCTTCAGCCCTGGAGTGCTCTTCGTTTGTGGTGCCTCCATGGGGCCGCGGTCCGTCGGCGAAGGGGCTCATGTTGATGACCCACGTTCTTGTGGCTGCAGTGGGGACCCATGCCAAGAGACGCCCTGCTTGCCTCCAGGGTGACCTGGGTGTATTGGGTTTCGATGGTTTCGCCATGATCGGGGGCGGAAAAGAGGGGGGTGATGACTATGGGGGGGTGGATATCAATGCGGAGGCCATGATATTTCCCCAGATTTCATGGCGCCTCTTCTTGTTTCATTACGTCCCTGGCCCCCCCGCTGAGCTGCGCACATGCCGCCGGTCATGATTTGCACCCCCACTTCTTTGACACCCCCCTCTTGGCCGCTCCCGAGGGTTTTGATGGTTTCGCCATGAGAGCGTGCAGTTCCCAGATCAAACTTCCATGGACTACCTGGGGTCTCGAGGTCTTGTCTCTCGTGGAAGGTTTCTCGTGGTCGAGTCCCCACGTGATGTTTCGGTTGTACATTGGGCACGATGTCGTTGCCACTTCTCATCTCAATCTTGTTGGGAGGACACTGTACATTGATGAGCTGGACATGTCCTCACGGCCGCGCAGGGCGGGGATGCCGTGCGTGCATGCGTGGATGCCGGTGGGGGTCCGAGATGTTTGCTTCAGCATGTGGGTGACGGTCAGGAGTTGCTGCTCAGTGTGTCGCGCCGCCGGTTTCGGCCCACCACGCTTCGGCGCGAGACGCTCAGCACTTCCCAATTCCCAGGCGTCACGGAGCCGAGCCGGGGTCCATCCCCGCGGCGCGGAGCGACGCGCTGTCGGCCTGCAGGACACAGGGTGCCGCCAGGGCCGCCGCCGCGACACGTCGGGCAATACGAAGGGATCGTAGACGCAACGTGAGCACTGGGCTGGACGACGAGCATGTCACCCAGTCGTCCGTCGTATTGAGTCGGCGACGCGGTCCACGTCAGAAGTGCTCGGTCCGACGGACACAGCGTTGTTGCGC